TGCAAATGAACCTAGCCGAGTCGAGCTTTAGCTTGTTCGAGTTCAAGCTCGTTTGCTAGATCTCTATTCGAGCTCGGTTTGATAAGAACCGAGCATTTTTTTACCTTTGTTCAAACTCAAGCTCATTTAAAAAGAATTAGCTCGAGCTCGATTCATGTTCAAAATCAGGCTTTTTTACAAGAGCTTATCGATCCGCTCGTTAAGGAAAAGTCACCCTGGCTCGCAAACAAGAAGTAGAACCCGTTGGCTCGCTCGCTCGCCTTCCTTCCCGCTTCACTCAATTGTTCACTTTGGTTTTTTTTATAGAGTGAAAAAAAAAACTTTTTGCGGTGTGGTACTAAGTGACTAACGCGTGAATAGGAGCGACTGAGCGGGAGCAGGAAATTTATTTTTTTGGGAAAATGCGAGATCAGGAGAAGTGAGTGACTGGGTGGGACTTTTTTAAAATTTTAATAAATTTTATTATTAAAGTGAGCGGGCAGTAGGCTCAAATAAAAAAAACTTAAATTGTTATTAATTATTAACTAAATAATTGTTATTAGTAAATAAATGATAAGTAATGATATTAATGAGAATTAATCGAGTTCTTTGTTCACGAGCTTCTTATCGAGCTTCATATTGAGTATGTTTACGAGCTTTAATCGATCATGTTCACGAACCTATTTGAGCCAAATGCATTGTTGTTCAAGTTTGTTTATTAACACATCGAGTATTTACAAAGTGTTCTAGCTTGTTCAAGTAACTAATTAAACGATCATGAACGAGCTCATATCAAGCCGAGCCTCGAGTAGTTTGTCGAACGCTCGGTTCGCTTGTAGCTCTATTTAAACTAAACGGCATCGCCAAGAACGTATAATGGCCCTCGTGTGTCCTAAAAGCTATCTTCGGAACATCTTTCTCTCTCATCCTAATCTAATGGTATTCGTACTTCAGGTTTATCTTCATGAATACTGTCACTCCAAAAAGCTCGTCTAGTAGCTTATCTATCATTGGAATAGGAAACTTGTCTAGCACAGTCTTCTTATTCAGTGCCCGATAATCCACACTAAATCGCCAACTCTCATCCTTCTTTTTAACCAGAAAAACGGTGCTAGAAAAGAGGCTCATGCTCGGCCTGATGATCCCAGCCTCCAATATTTCCCGAATTAGTTTTTCAATCTCATCCTTCTAAATATGGGGGTAGCGGGGTAAGGTTTGACATTGATCAGTGATACCCCCTCCCTCAGTGTAATGGCATGCTCCTGTCCACTCTGTTGTGGTAATCCCTGAGGCGGATGAAAAACTTCACGCAATTGTTGTATAATCAGTTGGACTAAAAGAGGGATGTCCCCTCCTTCCTCCCTTTTGATCCCCTCCAAGCTCTGTAACTCCACCAGAAATCCTCCTCCCTCCTTCTAGATGACGCTTACCGTGGTTTTTAATGACACCATGACTTTGGAGAGTCCCGCATCTCCTTTAATTGCCACCTTCCTCCCTTTCATCATCAGCTCCATGGTCAACATCTCCCAATTTACCTTGGTATCCCCCAAGGTTTGTAGCTATTTTACTCCCAAGATGACATCAGTGCTTCCCAGCTCCAATGGGAGAAATTCCTCTCTCAGATGGATCCTCTGTATATTCAAAACCACTCTCCTACACACTCCTCTACCTGTCTCCATCTTCCCTGTCCCCATCATCACCTCATAGCATCTTGCATCCACCAGTTTCAGCCTCAATTGGTCTACAACCCGGTTGGAGATGAAGTTGTGGGTGGCCCCACTGTTTATTAGCACCACTACCTTCTAGCCTGCTATTTTTCCTCTCACCTTCATAGTGTGATTCGAAGTGGATCCCATCACTGAGTTCAGGGATACCTCAGCCATGTCTAAATGTAGCTTTTCTTCCTCTGCCGATGTCTCACTCCCACCTCGCACTTTAACTTCCTCATCACAGACGATGAGAACCTGAAGAGTTCGGTCCTTACATCTATGCTCTGTGTGTACTTCTCATCACATCGAAAACATAACCCATTTGCTCGCTCCTCCTACACATCCGCCTCTCTTAGTCGCTTGAAGTTGCCTCCCGGGCTAACTCCACCACTCTTCTCCGTAGGAGCTTCTCTCTAGAAGGTTAGTGTTTGGGTTCTGAGCGCTAGCATTCTAGGGGTACTCCGATATGCCCCTCCCATGATGTTGCTTCTGATGGTTTTTTCTGTCTTACATTTTTCCTCCACCATCTGCGCCAGCTCCATCGTCTCTCTCAGCCCACTAGACCTCAGTACCCTGAGTTTGGCCCGTATGTCCTCCCTCAGTCCCTTCATAAAATTCCCCTCCAATCTTTCCTCAGAGATCCCCCTCAATCTCCCTAACCCAGTACTCCATATTCCATAATTGTCCCATCCTGAGTTAGAGCAAAGAACTGCTCGTGGAGGTCCCCATCTCGGAAACGTTTCAACAAGCACTCCTTGAATTCTCCCCATGAATAGATCGAACACCTTTCCTGCCTTCATTGGAACCAGCTATTACTTTCCCTTCCAAAACATAGACCTACCGCTATGAGTTTCTCCCTATTAGTCAGCCCATTGATGGCAAAATAACGTTCAACCGCTATGAGTTTCTCCCTATTAGTTAGCCCATTGATGGCAAAATAGCGTTCAACCCGGTACACCCAACCTTGAGCATCCTCTCCTTCAAAGACCAACATCTTTAGCTTCCTTGCCCGCACATCAATACCCCATTGGTTTATTCCCTGTTGTTTCCCCCGGTGTAGTAGTGGTATGTTTCTCTTCCTCTCTTGGTTGGTTTTGATCCCATGGCTCCCCCCAACCATGCCCTTCTCCAGTCCACCTCTCCCCATGCCTGGGTAACCTTCCAAAAGAGTTAACTTCTCTCCTTATTACTGTCCTCCCTTTGGAATAACCCAATCCGCCCACCAACGGGGCTCATACGGCAGTCCTTAATGGAAGACACTCTCCAATTCATCGCCGTCCTTCTGGATCTCCCTTCCTCGTGGTTCCCCCCTAGGGATCGCCGGTGATGCTTTCAATTGCATCTCAAGCATCTTTTTCATCATCTCTTCAAAGTTTCCAAAGCAATTCTTGATGGCCGATAGTCTTCCTTCCACCCCGGAATATTTTTCCTCTACTACGGTCTTGAGTTGCTCCATTTCACCCACAAACACATCCATCTTCTTTGCTTCCATTGATTGGATATAGGTCCCAATTCACAAAATAGCGACAAAAACTTGTTTTCCCTCCCAAGAAAGTTCTCCGATACCAATTTGATAGGATATTAGTGCAGAAATTAAGAAATTCTTGGCTGAGTTTGCAAATTTCACCAAGGATCAAGCAGATTTTGATAGAAGTCCCTATGTAAGACACTAGGGGACTTGATAATTGATAGGAAAATAGAAGAAAAACAACACAATACAATGGATCTTCGATTCGAGAGGTGGATCCATCTCTTCAAATCTCTAGCAGAGCCCAAACACCTAAGAGAAAAACCAGAAAATCAGCAAACAGTCACGTAACCCTAACACTAATCCCTTCCCTTCTATTAGAGAATACAAAATAAAAGCATAATTACTAAACATCCCTTGATTAATATTCCTCCAAAACCACCCCCTCATATTTGAATTTACCATCAAAGCATGGCCCCATAAGGGGGGGGGGCCAGCTATTCCCTGTCTGCCTGGAGTAAACTAGGAGCTAGCCCTGGTTTGGGGCCGGCTGGCCCGGTCTATCAATTTGTTATGTAGATTAGAGATGATATAATCTTCATTACAATATGCTTAATTTTTTATGGCCCATGCCCTCTACTCCATGACTAGATTTGCTATTTGTTCTTCTATATTACTGAACTCATTGTCTTCATCCTCAAGATTTACTACTTCAGAACTTGAAAGTCCTTCAACTATATTTGATCTAATTTATTTGAGTCATCGTTTCTTTTATAACTCTTGATGGTCTTTTCATCTTATTCTTTATCAAATCAACACAAAAATTCAACGATTGAAGTAGTAGCACCAATGTCTCATAATCATAGACAATACTTGCCTCATGGACAATGAAAATTAAGATATGGCCCTTTCATATGCACTCCTGAGGAGCACCACTTGCTTGGGAGTTGTGCTTTCTACACTTATTCGTGATGGCTAGGAGATCACTCAACTTACTATAACAACGAGTGGATGTGAAATTAAGGACTATTAAATATTATTAGGAACTTAAGTCCCATACAGTTGCGATAAGTTTAAGCATTTAGATATCTTATACAAATTTATTGTTTATAGAACAGGGCAAAACTTTAGAGTTAAGTTGGATTGTCAAAAAGTATTTATTTAGGAGTACTATGCAGCATGTGAACATTGAGTATCATGGAGATTTATTGATAAGTTTTATAAAACTATAGCACAATATTGATCCAGAAACTAAAAACAAAGATGTCGTCGATGTGCATGATGAGCGTACAAGTAATAAGAATGTTAAGATGAATGTGTCGTAATTTAAGAAATAATAAATTTAATATGATTATTAATATAGGAAAAGTGGAAGTAGCATCTATTGAAGATTTGATAGTGAAAATGGAGTTGAGTTATTTGGGCATGTACAATGATGAAGGGTAAAAGATGCACATGGTTGATCGAAGGTAAAATGACTAGAAGTTGTAAAAATTTAGGCTTCATTTAGGGCAGCTTTTGGCCACTGCTTACATAATTTTTTTATTAGAAAGCAGCAAGAAAATTGCCTCAAATGAAACCTTAGTTGTATGAAATAAAGCTAGCAATTTATGTTGCAATCAATAAAAATGAATAGAGAATGGGGATTTGCAAAGCCACCCAAATAATCGGGAGAAGGTTTATGATGATTTTATTTTTAATTTTTTTTTCTTTTATCAATGTGTATGTTTTATATTAAGAAGCTTTTAACTTTCTTATTTCTTCTCGCAGTCTGTTTATCCACTTAAGTATTTGATTCTCTTTATTCTTGCTTATCTTCTGATTCATGTCTTTTATTGTTCCAGGTGTTGCTCGGTGAAATTCCAAGATATGATATGTCTGATGTCAAGCCTTCCAAAGCAGGCCTTGAAACTGTCCTGCAGGTTCTGAAAATTCAGATGAAGTTTTGGCCCATTCTGGGAACAAAATTTGAGGCTTTGCGTGCAGAGTGGAAATTGGTTGCTTCAAACAGGAGTAAGTGACAAAGCCTTACATGCATCGTGCATTTTTAAATAACGCTCATACTTGAACAGCTGCATGATGTGCACATTTATGTGCCCAAAAGTATGATTAATTAATGATGAAGTTAAGAAGTGAAATGTCATGACACAGCCGGAAGTTCGAATTAACGAGACAGGAACAGATAGCCAGATGGTTGATTAAATTCCATTTGTTAAAACTATCTCTAATAAATTGAAAGAGCCATAAACTGAAAGAGCCACTAAAATCTCAAAATATTGAAAATAAAATGAATTAAATACCTTTCTTTCGAAGCGCCGCGCCTACGATACACATTATCTTCTCTTCTACTCATTTTAAGTTAATCAATTAATACCATTGAATGTTATTGGAAACAAAAGTGAGTTATAAAAAAATCAGTGAATAAATCATGCTTTTAAATTACAGTAACACAAGATATTAGGAATAATATGCAAGATCTTTTCAAAAAAATAATTTAATCTATTTAAGATTCATATCAAAACATGATCATCTATATTATGCATATATCAAATTTGTCACATATATCGTATCTTTATCCTTTCTTAATAATACAACAGTCGTATGTGACACTGTCTAAAATAGTATCAATAAAGGTACTTTTTTCCATTTTATTTTTCTTTTCTATAATCTTTTTCATTTACGTGCACATGTACATTGCATCCCCAGCCAATACCATAAGAGGTGTGCTCTATCAGTGAATATGCACATACAAGTATTTCTATATAGTCATTTCATTCATTTATCATTCAATAACTTTCTATAGTACATATGTTGAATACTCATTGCTAACTATGAAACAATTGATTATGATTATTCAAAAAGAAAAAATGCTATAATTTTATAATTATCATTAACTATCCAATATCAATTAATTCAATGAACTTAAATTAAATAAAGCATACAACAACTACATCAAGCCTGTGTCCCACTACGTAGGGTCAGCTAAATGAATCTTTTTTCTCCATTGTGTCCTTTTAAAAGTCAAATTCTCGTTTAACTTTAATAAAGAAATATCATTTCTAATACTTTCTAACCAAGTCTTTTTAGGTCTACCTCTACCTTTCTTAATATAGGTCAAATCTAATACATATAATTTACTAACCGGGTCATCGGAAGGCCGACGTTTTATGTGACCAAACCTCTAAAGAGACTGAGCATCCTCAACTCTACAATACTTAGTATTATGATTCTCTTTTAATGGCCAACATTCGACACCATAAAGCATTGCAAGTCTTACCACCATCTTATAGAATTTCCCTTAAGTTTGAGGGGGACTTTTCGATCACACAACAAGCCCGATGCATTCTTCCACTTCAACCATCCAACTTGAATTATGCTGATAATATCTCCATCTATTTCATCATCACTCTGAACAATAGATCCAAGATATTTAAAACGTGTACTCTTATTGATGACTTGATCGCCCAAAGTCACAATCCCCTCACTAGGTTTATTACTACTAAAATTACACTCCATATATTTTGTTTTAGATCTACTCAAGAGAAAACCTTTAGACTCTAAGGTTGACCTCTATAATTCAAGTTTACCTTCAACTCCCTCTCTAGTCTTTTCAATAAGAAGAATATCATCAGCAAAAAGCATACACCAAGGTACATCCTCTTGCAAATGTCTAGTGAGAACATCCATGACTAAAGCGAAAATGTTATGGGCTTAAGGCTGATCATTGATGTAATCCAACCGAAATAGGAAAATACTTATGCAAATCACCTTGTGTTTGAACACCAGTAATAGTTCTTGCATACATATCTTTAATGATTTGAATATAAGCATTATTAACTCCTTTCTTTTTAAGAACTCTCCATAGCACTTCTCTTGGAAGTTTATCATAATGTTTTCTCTAAATCAATAAATCTAATATGTAGATTCTCCTTATTCTCTCTATATTTCTCCATCAAATCTCTCAATAAATGTATGGCTTCTATAGTAGACCTACTCGGCATGAATCCAAATTGATTTTGAGAAACATTAGTATCACGCCGCAATCTACGCTCCATAAATCGCTCCCATAGTTTTAAAGTATGACACATTAACTTAATTCCTCTATACTTCACACAATCTTGTGCATTCATTTTATTCTTAAAAATAGGAATCAACACACTCATTCTCCACTCATCTGGCATCTTTTTAGTCTTCAATATAGTATTAAAAAGTATAGTAAGCTAAGAAATTTTTTCTTCTCCTAAGCATTTTCACACCTCTATTGGAATATCATCAGGTCTAATAGCTTTACCACACTTCATTTTCTTTGAACACTGCCGTTGTCAGGTCGCAAGTCCTGGATGAGAAAAGTAAAGGGTTGCATTAGGCAGTCAACAAACAGCGTAAAATTTGTTGAATAATCATGAGATAAATTAAAGAAAGCATTGTTACTATAAATAAAAGCATGAAAACTCACCTTGGAATCAGATGCATTAACAATTCACCTTAATTATCATTTCATTGATACCAACTTAACACCTATATAAAGGCCTTCTCGTTTAAATTTTAATTAATAATTGCTCTTACTCTCTCTAATTAATTAGTTAATTCACTAATTAGAATTGATTAATGTTAATATTTTCTAAGTTATTTAAAGATATAAATTTTAAATTAAACTTCTTTAATTGTATTTATTAATTTATTCTATTAAAATCTATAAATTTTAAATAATTAATTTTACTAATAATTATGTATTAGATTAATTCCTTATTCTTTATTTCAAACATTCTTTCTTTCTCTTTTATTAATTTTTCTTTTAAAATTTTATAATATAACTTATTTATATTTCAATAAAATTATCTTGATTTATTATCTACAAAATAAATCCTTATTTATAAATTTAAATTTTAATCTTACCTTTCCAAGTCATGCTTGCCGCTCGATCCCTTACTAGCTTCTTCCTTCTCCCTCAATCTACTCTTCCCTCTCTTCTCTAATTTATAGAGAAGTCCTTCGTCAGTTTCTTCCCCCTCTTTCATCGTCTTCAGTTGATGAAGCCGGCCGCAACCAAAAGACCAAACGACATCGGCGCTCCTTCATCTCATTTAATCTCCTCTCATTCAAAGCCTCTTCTATTTGTACTGTTCAACAAGAGAGAGCGAATCAAGCAGTTTCTTTTTTTCCACCTTGAGGACAAGGTGTCTTTTTGGGAAGGGAGTAATGATAAGCCAGTGGGGCCCACCGGGGTGCTTGGGGAGGCGGAGCAAGTAAAGCGGGGCAGCATAGGGAACAACCAAGTGGGCGACAGCTTGGGGAAGCCAAATGTAGAGCCCAAATCAACATTAATTACCTATCAAATGAGGTGAAAACTTAGGAGGGAATAATGCTGGGGGCTGTTTGAAGAAAGAAGGGGGCAGCAATTGTTGTTCAAAGTAGGTTTCAAGGAGATTCTTCTGTGGGATAGCTGATCTAATTCTCGAAGTGTAGATTAAAGTCATCTTTCTTTTTGGTGTTGAGTTGTAGTGATGTTGTTCTCTGTGTTTATGGATTGTCTTATTGTTTTCTTGTATGAGTGCATTGAATTTATTGTTTTCTATGAATTAAGAGTGGAATTAGTGTTTCTCATCTTTGGGTGTTGTTTTAGTGAACAATCTTCTATTTTCTGGGTTCAAGTCTTACCAGATACCCGCCAAAATCATATGTTATATATTAACTTGTTCCTGTACCATTCTCAAGTTTTATATCTTCAAAATATTTCTCATTTGTTCTCAACTTTTCACTTATATTCTTTGAAAACATTTCCTCTGTTTTTACGGAAAGTCCATGTGTCTAGCCTCTGTTTTTGTTTTTCTTTTCTTTTTTTTTTTTGTGACATGTTGATAATTTTCTGTTCTATCCTGTATTTTTTGACAAACACAATAATGAATGTCTAATTAAGATAAAAGCTGAAATCTTTTTTTTTTATTATTTTGGGTTAATTCCAGGGAAATTTGGGAAGAGGAGGAGATTCTTTTTGGGGCCAATATGGTGGAGATGGGGAGCTAAAAGGTTTGTTTATGAACTACTTTATGGACATAGAAAGATGCGGCGGCATTCAAAGAGGTTCCTTCTATGATTTTGAAGTCTTGAGATGATCAGGGAGAACATCCACTATCTTCCACTGGGAAATTTTTCAGCTTAATTTTGGAACCAAATGCTGATTGACTTTCTGTAAGTTTTAGTTTGGGTCTTTTTAATATGGTTTTGTTTGATTCTCTATAATGACTAATGTGATAGTACTGGAGGGTTAGCATTAGCAGACTTGAATATCTGATGAAATGTGATCAGAATGACCAAATATTGTAGAAAGAGAACCCTTATCTCTGCATTTAATCGTCTTTTCTTTCTCTGACTCCCAAGCAACACATTCAGTGGGCAGGCAGGTACTAGGTTTTGTTCTACGCTTGACTTGTCAATAATATCTGAAAAAAAAAATTGAATTAAAATTTTTTTATTAAAAAATAGTTTTATAAAGTAACAAAAAAGCTGTCCCAAATAAAACCTTAGACTTCGTTTGTGACAACTTTTTCATTGATTCTTAAAATAGCTTTCTAGTACAAAAATTAAGATTTTTGTACTAGAAAACTATTAAGCAGCAGCAAGAAAGCCTTATCAAATGAAGCCTTAGGCTTTATTTGGGACGGTTTTCTTACTACTTCTTAAAGCAGCTTTCTAGTATTAAAATTAAAAATTTTGTATTAAAAAGTTGCTTTATGAAGCAGTAAGAAAGCCGTTTCAAATGAAGCCTTAATGTGGTAGTGTTGTGTGGATATTATTAGCAGGCTTGAATATATGATGAAATGTGACTTTTATTCATCACTCCCCTCTCTAACCATTGAACAGCGTATTCACCATTAATGCTGTCATTAAGTTTTGTTTTGCACTGGACTTGTCAATAATTTCAGGAAAAAAAAATAGCTGATTGCTGATTTATTAGCGTTATAACAGCTATAGTCCTGATTAAAACTTCGGTATTTTGGCTTTGAATTAGGTCTTCGACTTTTCAGCAACTTACTTATGTAACCTCAAGGTTTCATATCAATTTTCTCCTTCTTGCCTCATCTCTCTCATAGTAAGATAGCTTAATTTATGGGTCAGCTTGTGTTTATAATCCAGCTTTTTAAACATTTTAGTTTTAAATACTGTAAACGAAATTCATGAAATTTCTTGGCTGTCACAGTTAAATAGTTTTAAAGTGATTGTACAATTATTATGAAATATATATATATATAGTGATTATTGTAATTTCTTTCTTTTTTTTTAAATAACTCTTGCATATTTAGCTGTAAAAAATATGTGGTTGTATGAGGGAGAGAAGCATTGAAAATGTAGTGTTAGGCTTCATTTGAGGAACTTTTATTACGTCCAGTGTAAGGACGTAGAGGAACATCCGGTTGGAGGTAAAATTCCGCCAAAAACTCGGTATTTGCTTGGTACAACTAGGTATTATTTGATATTAACGAGGAATACAGCTCTTTGAAGACCAATACCGAGTTATACTGAGTTATACCGAGCTGTATCGAGAAATACCGAATTGTACCGAGTTTTTCTAGGAAAAATTCGGTACAACTTTTGTATAACTCGGTATTTCTTGATTTAGCTCGGTATTGGGTCTTCAAATGATGGTATTCCTCGTTATTGTTTGGTATTGCTCGATATTTGCTCGGTACAACTCATTTTTTGACGGGATTTGGCCTCCGACCGGACGTTCCTCTGCGTCCGGTAGGAGGACGTAATAATTGTTCTCATTTGAGATAGCTTTCTTATTATTTTAAAAAGTTGTTATAAAATTTTTTTTACTTTTGTAGAAAATATTTTTCTAGCACATACTGTTTTTTAAAGATATGAAAAAATAGTGTTCGTATATAAATTGAAGTTGCATCTTAAAAAGTAAAATAGTAAGAAAGCTATGACAAACAAAACTTTTGGGATCACTTTCAGTCGGTATTTTTTTCTATTTTCAAAAAAAAATTGTACTAGAAAATTATTTTAGAAATAAGTAAAAAAAATTTCTCAAATGATACCTTAATATGCGGCTTATGAATTATTTTCAATAGTTCATTGCTTTGATGTGAAGTTTTTAATGCTATCAGTAGGGGTGTCAATATATGACACGAATCCAAAACACGATCTATATCCAATCCGGATATTTTGGATTTGGGTCGATCCATTTAACAATGGGTTGAGTTTGGGTTTAATTTTTTTACCTGATTGATATATCCGATCTAGTTTGGGTTAACCTATGAACTTTAAAACAGCTCGTTTGACATGCCCTCACTTTGTCAGATCTCGCATCGCTCGTTGTGCTCACCCTCATAGTCTTGCACTTTCCTGCTTGCTCTCGCTCGTTCACTCTTACCCTCGCAGCCTTGCTAGTTGGACCGCTAGCCCTCATTGGCTTGCTCACATACTTCAAATATTTATTTGATGGTTTAAAATTAATCCCTCAATCATGAATAGTACAATCCAATTGGTGATGGCCACTCAATTTTTAGAAAATTTGAATTTCAAACTTTCAACTTTTAGAGAATAATGGATAGCAATAAAGCACAATAGTAATATGATGAAGTTCTCCTACCACAAAATTTATAATAAGTTGATGATGATCAATTTGATGCCACCTATATAGTGTGTCCTCATCATCCTACAACATCCTCTGCTCCGACACAGCCTCATCAAGATCTCTTGGATATTGTCAATTAAACTCATCTTTCATGTCCTACTTGGCTAAATTTGCCTTCAACAATTCAAATCAACATTGTCTTATTTATGCCCCCACACAATGCTATAGAAGATGAGCCTAAACGCCTTGTTCACAAGAAATTTTTTGAGTGTAAGTACAAATAACTGCTTACCAGACCATTAATGCTCATTGGAAGAAATTTGAGCACTCGTTAAGCCAATGCAATAATTTATGATAATAAATTAATCAAGCTGTCCAATAAAAAAACACAAGCACTGAAGAGATCAAAATGTCATTATTATCAACCTCAACATGAGTCATCCAATTACATCCCACTAAATAGATTTATGATTGATATTCTAATAGAGATTCTAAATTATGAACACCTCTAGTAGCCAAAACCTCTAAAAAATTCAAAGATTGAAACTAGTCTTAATATTAAAGCTTTCATCATTCTAGAAGACATTCAACAAAAGAATTTTCTCAATTGAAATAAGATATTAAACATATGATTCACCAAGGATAGTTGTGCAGTAATGTTAAATGGTTAGCCTCAAAATGAAGGAGATTAGAAAAGTCATGGTAAATGGATTGTTTGAATTATTTAGTAGGAGTGTTGTCACAATATATTTGACTTCATATATAGGGAGAAACTATCATCGAAGCAAACTAAAGAAGTTGAGTATCACCACCAGCTTGGAAACTTTAATTAACATGGTGGGAACAAGTGATCGGATGATTATTTAAAGTTTGTTCGCTAAGGGCATCTCCAACCGAAAACTTCATTTTTCACGGCAAAGTAACGCAAAACTCCAAAATGGCGCGGTGATGCTCCAATCGAACGCCATTTTAGGTGTTTTTGAGAAGGTAACGATCGCCCTCCCTTTCGCGCGTTTTTCCGGTTGAGAGCAAAAAATGGCGTGAGTGAACAGTGCGACGCCAATATTGGCGTCGCACTGTTCATCCGCGATCAAATGGCGTAAAAAATGGCGATCGGTTGGAGCAAAACAAGAATTGCCGTTCGGTTGGAGATGCCCTAAACTTATAACATTAACTTTTTTTAATATGTTAAAACACCCATTACAAACTCCAAATGCATTTTAATGGAAAATATATGAAAACTACTTTTAAAAACTTCCTTTCTCATATAGCATCACGTCTATGATATGTGTTCTCTCCTCTTCCATTCATTTAATTTTTTAAAATAATACATGTATATGTTTATAAAATATATAGGTGAGTCATAACACAACTATGTGAGCACATCATGCTTCTAAATTGTAGTAATATAATGTATTTTGAAAAATATGCATGTGTGTTATAAAATATAATGTAATTCTATTTAAAATTTATTTTTAAAATGACCATAAATATTATGTATATCCATATATAATACATATATCGTATATTTATTATGTTCTATAAATAATATAATCATCACAAAAGACACTGACTAATTTTTGTCAAATAAAATACTCCATGATTTATTTCTTTTTCTAAAACTCTTTACATTTCATTTACGTGAGTACATTACATCCCCAACCAATACAGGTGTACTCCATTTGATTATATGCATGCAAGCATTTATACATAATCATTTTATTTATGTTCTTCATATAATTTCTTATTGTATATATATTGTTGCGGGCTAGAATATACGCGGCGATAGAGTTATAATTCTACGTCTTAGCTTTGCACGGATATCCAGCTCACACACAAAGAACACAATATTTTTTACGTGGAAAACCCGGAAAGGGAAAAAACCACGGGGCCTAGCCCAGTTGAAGATGATTCCACTAAAATTTGAGGAAAGTACAATGGTCTGACTCGTCCTTGAAGACAACCAGATTACAGATATCAACTGAGAGTTTTACAAAAGTCCAACGTCACTCCACTGTCAGGTAGTGGTCCAGCAACACTCCGGTGTCAGACGGTGGATCGGTAATGGCACTTTAGTGTCAGGGGATACTTCAGCTTCGGATGGCACTTCGGCGGTGTTGCGGTAATACTCCGGCGGTGATGCAGCAGCACTCCGGCGGTGGTGCGGCAAGACTACGGCGGTGGTGCGGCAGCACTCCGGCGTCCCTTGGTGGTTCGAGGAGGAGCTAGGCGGCAGGAGCTTTCTTCCTTCTCTTCCTTCTTCTCTCTTGACTTCCTCCCCTTTTCATGAGGAATGAGGGGTCTATTTATAGATTTTCTGGAGTGGCATAGCTTGTAAATAGGTGTGAGATCAGGGGCAAATAGGGAGTGGCTGAATGGATGGCCGATATCGAATCCCATGATCGTGCACTGTTCGTTGGACATTTGAAGGCCTTAGTGATGTCAGAATTCA